CTTACCTGATATGCCTAGAGAAATATCTTGAAAATACGATTTATCGCTCCCAGGTGACTGAAGAAATTTGCAGACTTACAAATGGCTCTACTGGTACAGAAAGTCTAATTATGTTTCTGATAGGTTTTTCAAGCTGAAATTCATATTTCCTTTTTCCGCGTTTGAAGAAAGTAAAAATCAAAATTTTGTTCGAAATTTGCGCCACGACGTAGGGCACTTCAAGGTATTTGTATTTCGCTTACCGGATAAGCTGTGATGCTGAAAATTCACAGGGATATTTTATCTTTAAGAACGGTCTTAATGCTGCTTGGGGGGAGGGGGTGAAATTCTTTGCAAGTAGCTGTACCAACTTGAAGTCTAACACTTTTTTTTCCTCATTCTCTGTCCATAAACATTTTTCCTGTTCTCTTGGCAGCTGCTGGCTTATCCTGTTAAACACTAGTGTTTTGTCGGCAATCCAAAAAAAGTATGTAATAATAACGTAGGCGGCTTCCGAAGAGGAGGTTCACTTGCATTCACCGCTACACTAACTGGAGGTCGAGAGGTGAGGCATCTACATCCCGCTTGCGGTGCCAGTCCAGTAATACCGTGCATTACTACTGTTAATGTTCGGGTAGTTTTGTTGTTTTTGGAGGATGTGGGATCAGTTTATTGTAAATTTGTAATAAGGAGCTCAGCCAGTGCTTCAGGTTTTACAGATTTCAAAATTTTTAAAAAAGGCTGCATTATGAGCAAGCTCTCCTTCTCCTCTTTCAAACTGGCGATGATCCGACTGCGATGATTAAATTGCTCGTTTCCTTCGCTTTTGCTAGCATCTCGTTGCGTTGTTTGACTGGCTAGCCGGCTGTTAAGTTGGCTTCGTTCTGTACGCATTTGGTTATGGACCGTGAAGTTGTCTTTATAAGTGCTCTACAACTGCTCAATGGGTGTTGAAAAAGGAAATTTCTTCGCTTCGAAAGGACAGCTTCTGGCTGGCTGTCCGTTATGTTTCTTGGGTTAGTACTGCGCTCAGCATTGCAAAATGATAAACAGTTTGCATTAGAATGGAGGCCATTGCTTGTACCGTTTGCTTTCAGGAATTTCATTCCGAAAATGAACAGTGTTGTGCAGGATGTAATGGATGAGATGGACCCGAAACAACAAGTTGAGGAACAGTATAAGTATGCATTATGCCGTTGCTGATGCTTAATCTTTCCCGCCCATTTTTCCTGTTTTGTTTGAGATTGAGGGACGTGCTTTACAGGTCGGTGAACAACGAATCTTTTCAGTGGCGAGCCTCGCGACTCCTCCTTTCCCAAAGTGCCTCATATTTTCAGGTATGCTGCATTTTTGCATCGAATTATTAAGACAGTTTTAGCTTAGCTTATTTGCAGGTTCCGTCAAAAAAAAGTGAGGTAACAGCAAGTATGGCGCCTTTTCTCGAGGAAGTGATCAGGCACACAGCAGCAAACATTCCGGTCAGTGATCGTCTTTGTATTTATCCACTTTTAGCCAGTTGCGAGACACCTACTTACTTTTCCATCATTTCACTAAATAGCTTTTATTGATCGAACTTTTACTTATGCTAGACCATTTACACGGGACCAAATATTTATTAGTGGAAGCAACACCACCAGAAAAAGAATGAAATTCAGCAGGAACTGAACGATAGGCGTGGGAGCTAACTCATTTAAAACAAGATTGACATAGCTTCTTGCTGTACCACGCTGCTTTCGCGGATGGAAGGTGTTTTTTGGGAAGAAGTTAACAGTCTTTCTTCGTCACGAAGTAGTGCGCCTCATTTCTCAGTCGGCGGTTGCACATAGAAGGGCTGGCAGTTGGCGCAAATTTCACAGCATCACCGACATCGTCGAAATGTGGAACCAAGAAGGCCATGCTCATCATTGTATAGAATGGTGTAAGGTATAGCTGAGAAGCGTGACCTCTGACTAAAGTAAAGGACCAAATGCTGGCTGTGACGGAGGACGCGGTGGAGCGAAGAATGCTTAGAGTGTCTGCTTATATCCACATACTCTTAATCCCAAGGGCGGCATGCAGTATGTCACTGCAGCTACGCAAGAAAATGAAATCTGATAGCAATTCGTGTTGCTCGCCTTGCTGACGACAGGTGGACACATTCATTATTAATAAGTGATGCCCGTGAGAAAATGAGCATGCACTTTTGCGCGGCCTTTGATGAAGTGGTGCATATATATCAGTCAGTGAGACGCGACTGCTAATCGATGACATGAAGACCAGGGCTAAAGAATCTCGTACAGCTGTGTTGGCGGGTAGAAGCGTCTGTTTGGCATGGCTAGCATCGAATTCGCCATTGATTTTGTTGAATTTTTGGTAATTTCGGTCAACGATTCCGCTCAGAAGTGATTCTTCGCTACATGAGACGTAGAATAGCTCGTGTATCACTGGTTGTGTGTTCGTTAGGAGAACCTCAAGTTGATTAATAATTCTCGTTGGAAGCCTCCCTGACGTCTGCTGCCTATCTTGACATGTCCATAAGCTCCAGACATTTAAACAGTTGACCTATTAAAGCGAGCATCATTATAATGATGGGCAGGCGGTATTAACTGCTGATATTTCATAGGTGAACGGGGGCGGCCCCCAACGCGAGTTCAACTGATTATCGCACGGCGACAAAAACAGTAGTACATCGCGGATAATTCGCTGCGTATTTACGTTCTGTTCATTGAATTTCTCTGTTTTAGGATTTGGACGGGAGCAGTACGGGTGCAGCAAATGGCA